CCAGAAAACCGGAAGTGGCGCTGTAGCTCAAGTGGTAGAGCGCTCGCCTTGAGCTGAAGAGCTGAGGGACAGCACCCAGGCCCAGAGTTCAAGCCCCAAGACCGACAAAAAACAAAAAGAGTTGGAGTTAGCTACTGCTAATAGTAACATATTTGAAATCTGCTTAAGAGGATAAACAGTATCTCCTCCATTGCTTACATTCTTTGTTTCCTATTGAAGCCGAGTGTTAAAAGACCACAAATGCAGTGGGGCTCAGTTGGCCCCCACTTGTAATCCTAACTAGCTAAGGCTGAGATCTGAAAACCTCAGTTCAATGCCAGCCCATAGGAAAGTCTGTAAGACTCTTATCTCAGTTAATCACCAGATCACCAAAAAGTGTACCCTGTGGCTCAAGTGGTAGAGCACTAGCCTTGCACAAAAGCCCAGGGACAGTGCTGAGCCCCTGAGTTGACTAGACCCGCTCACACAGAAACAACAGTGGCTCATGTGTCCTAATCGAGTCACTCATGTATTCAGCAAGAACCAACTGTGCACTACTGTTGTGTACACTACTCTTGGTGACGTGATACAGCATTGAACCAGAGAATGCCTGCCTGTTTTATCAGCTCTTCAGCTTTAAATGTTTAGAACCAATATGCAGCAGTTTCATTTGTATCATTGGTTTCTCTTTGGTGTCTTAGATTCGGTGTAGGTGATATGAAGAGTGCTGCTTTTGCTGATGGCAGTAGGGGCAGTAGGGTTTTCCACATGAGCGGATAACAAGTAGTTGTACGTCCCATCTGAAAGGACTCCCGTGCGCATTTCAGGGGAAGGGTCGCGCTTTGATTTTCTCATCTCAAAACCTCCTGGTACTTCCTGTGTCTGCATGTCTCACTTTCGTAGTCACCTCATCCATTTCATTTTGAAATTGCTAAACCTAAATTGTATTCAGAAACTATGTCTCTCTTTCTAAATGCTTCAAAAATTGTTACCTTTTTCTTTTTTGCTGGTCCTGAGGCTTGAACTCAGGGCCCGGGCACTGTCCCTGAGCTTCTTGTGCTCAAGGCTAGCACTTTACCACTTGAGCCACAGCACAATTCCAGCTTTTTCTGTTTATGTGGCACTGAGGAATTGAGCCCAGAGCTTCATGCATGCTAGGCCAGCACTCTACCACTAAGCCACATTCCCAGCCCCCTGGTACCTTGTTTTTTACCAACTAATTCCTAGGTGAAAAATATTGGAATTAGATGTAGAGGTAGAGGGGTACTTGGATACAACCATACTAAGAAAAATGAGTTGAGAAGACCACAGCCACCAGTGGAGCGGTGCATGCAGTTGGCTTTGCGTATACATAGATTGCAGTGAGGGAACTGAGGCCCACAGGCTCACACCTTTCTGAACCTGCACACTTGGAAATAGTGTGTGTCCACTTGTTTATATGCACACTTACATGTACACTGCTATTTTTAAGGGACAAAGTCCTGTATTACAGAGTAAGACACGATAGTGCATCCTAATGTACATACACACCCGTTCTTCACATAGAAACACCCAGGTCAAGTAGTGGGAGGTAATGGTGCCCTCTGGAGTGGGACTGGAATTAGGGAGACAATTAACTAGGCACACTTTTGATGGACTCGTGGCTTTATGCCTCAGGGCAGGTACTCTCACTTGAACTACACCCAAGGTCCTTTTAGTTTTGTTTTTCTAATAGGGCCTCACTTCCCTTCCCTTCCCCCTCCCCACAGCTGACTGGGATCCTCTTGTTTATAATTATGGTTTATCTGTGAAGGCAAGTGCATACCACTGCTCTGCTTTTATTGGTGGTTTAGATGAGGGTCTGAGATAACATCCCTTACCCCTATCTGGGAGGGGCAGGGGAGCGGGTAGGTTGGCCTTGAACTAGAATTCTCCCAATCTGGCAAGTAGCTAGGATTACCAGTATAAGCCACCTGCCCATCTGTTAACCTTTCCTTGAATGTCCTGTGGCTGTTGATTTGTTTGGCTTCGACCATGATTGCTAGTCCTCCTCCCTCCCCCACTCTCCTCCTCTCCCCCCTACCCATCTCCCCCTCCTCCCCTCTTACTCTCCTTGCCTCAGATCCTCCTCCCCTCCCTCCTTCCTTTCCTCCTATCCTTCCCTCCTCTTTCCCTTCACCCCTCCTTTGCTCCTTCCCTATGTGTGTGATTCCTATCCTGACCTTAGTTGCCTGCATGCCTTGAAAGCTTATAGTCTGTTTAGTTAACCTGGCAACTGTCCCTGACCTCAGGCTGTAGCCCATCTCTCTTAATCCATTGCTCCAGTAATCGTAGTTGTCTTTTGTGGGTTTTTTGTTAGTTTGTTTTGTTGGGGTGTCTCAGTAATCTCTTTCACTCTTTTTTTTTAACCTTTTTGTGGTTGAGCTCTGTCCCTAACATACCGTCCTGTCCTGTGTCCGCTTCGGCCAGATTTTCTCCCACGTGCCCCTTCCCCTGGGTTACTGTGAGCCAAATCCCAGGCATCTCACTGGTTTCCATGCACTCTGACACCAGAGTGTCAGAGAGAGAAAGAGAAAGTAACTTCTTTAACATAATCATTGATGCCATCATTGGATTTTCAAATCCTCAGCCTGGAATTTGGTAATATCAGCAATACACACAGAGACATACTGAGACTGGCTTTGAGGCAGGAGAATCTGGAATTTGGGGCCAGTCTGGGACTCATAGCCAGGTCCTGTCTCAAAAAATAGAACAAAGGAACAAGATCCTTGATGTCACATTTCCCAGTCCCGTGTATGTTTTGTGGTTAGAGAATTGGGTTTTTTTGTTGTTGTTGTTGTTTATTTGTTTTTGTTGGTTGTGGGGCCTGGAACTCTGGGCCTGGGCGCTGTCCCTCAGCTCTTCAGCTCAAGGCTAACACTCTATCACTTGAGCCATGGCACCACTTCTGGCTTTTTCTGAGCTGAGGAATCAAACTCAGGTCCTCATGCATGTAAGGCAAACACTCTACCACTGAGCCACCTTCCCAGCCCCTGTGTGTTTGTTGGGTTTTTTTGTTTTGTTTTTGGTTTTTTTTTGGGGGGGGTCCGGTCGTGGGGCCTGAACTCTGGGCCTGGGCACTGTCCCTCAGCTCTTTAGCTCAAGTCTAGCACTCTACCACTTGAGTCACAGTGCCACTTCTGGTTTTTTTCTTTTTTGCTTATGTGGTGCTGAGGAATCGAACCCAGGGCCTCAGGCATGCAAGGCAATCACTCTACTACTGAGCCAACTTCCCAGCCGCCCCCCCTGTTTGTTTTTTATGGCAAACCAGAGTCCCAAGGAGATGACCCTTTCATCTGCTAATGTAAATGCTAATCGCTTCTTCCTGGTGCTGTTTATTTTTTGGAAGAGGTGTGTCATTTACCCTGTAGAATTTTGCACTTCTGGGGCTTTACATCCTTCAGTCTCATTAACATGTTCTCATCCTCCGAATGTAGTGGGTTTGCTAAAACTCAGGGTTTGGGGGGGTTTTCTTTATTTTTAGTTTCAAGCCTGTAATCTTAGCTGCTTAGGAGGCTGAGATGTGAGGATCTGAGTTCGAAGCCTGCCTGGGCATAAGTCCCTATGAGACTTTTATCTCCAGTTAACTGTTCAAAGAACAGAAGTGGCTCTGTAGCTCAAAGTGGTAGAGCACTAACCTTGAACAAAACTGCTCAGGGACAACACCCAGCATACTTAACCAGGACAATGTTTTTCCTAGTGTATCTCCTTCTATATCTAATTAATAATTGTATAAGTTCCAATGAATAGATGGGTTTGTGTGAGGTTGGTCTGAACTCATTCATTTTAAAGATTCTCAGTATCTTGTGTCTGTGTATGCACACCAGTCCTAGGACTTGAACTTGGGGCCTGAGCACTGTCCCTAATCTTTTTTGCTCAAGGCTAGGACTCTGCCACTTGAACCATAATTCTGCTTGTGGCTTTTTGGTAGTTAGTTGGAGGTGAGTCATGAACTTTCCTGCCCAGGCTGGCTTTGAACTTCAGTCCACCAGTTCATTAAGGACAAATGTGGTCATTGAACATGACTCAATAGAAGCACAGTTTGCCATGACAAAAAGCTGCCCTTCCTGACTGTGTTGGACCAACTGGTCAGATATTTGCCACATTTACATTGCTACACGTAATGATCCCCTGGTGGGCTTGTTCATAGCAAAAGGGAAGAAAGCCATCTGTACGACTGTTGAAGGATGCTTGCTTTAAGTTTACAGTGATTTCGGTTATCTGGGTTGTAAATGAAATCAAAGGATACCATTGTAAAGTTGTTGCTATGAGAAAGGTGTTTTAGTAGGTTGGAAATCAAAGAGAGTAGCTCGCTGAATATAATACATAAGCATTAGGGATTGGGCATGTGGCTTAGCGATAGAGTGCTTGCCTAGCATGCATGAAGCCTTGGGTTCAGTTCCTCGGTACCACATACACAGAAAAATCCCAAAGTGGCGCTGTGGTTCAATTGGTAGAGTGCTAGCTTTGAGCAAAAAAGAAGCTCAGGGACAGTGCCCAGACCCTGAGTTCAAGCCCCATGACCAGCAAAAAAAAAAAAAGCATTAGTCCACTACTTTTTAATCATCATAGAGTGTTGAGATCCCACCAATCAATGAGTACTTTCTTGCATTCATATATTTTATCCCAGTTTTCTGCTCCAAAGATTTTTTTTCTTGTTCCTAGTGAAATACTCATAAAGACCATTTGTGACTTACATCAAAATTTGAAGATTGTTTGTTCTGATTTCATTGTCCAGAGGCTCACAAACCCCAACAGTGTTCCCTGCATTGTCGCTTTGTGATTCCTTAGGTTACTCAGTACATACTATCTGACACCTTCTGTGGGCCCAGGAGAAGCAGCTGAGTGAGCTTGGTGGCTCAGTCACAGGTGAAGGCAGAAATGCAGCTGTCTGATAGAGTGATAGTAAGGCCAACCCAGTCCATGCCACTTGGAACATGCTAGAACCACCCAGCACAGGATTGCTAGCATGAAAGAGAGATTGATTACAGCCACTTTTTCCCATGGCTGCATCCATGAGTAGAAAAGGCTAAAAATATAAGACCTGCTAGGTGCTACTTGCTACTCAGGAGGCTGAGATCTGAGAATCATGGTTCAAAGCCAGCCTGGGCAGGAAAATCTGTGAAACTCATATCTCCAGTTAACCGCCAGAAAACCAGAAGAGGCGCTATGACCCACGCGGTAGAGCACTAGCCTTGAGGTGAAGAGCAAAAGAAAAGCGCCCAGGCCAAAACTTCAAGTCCCTTGACTGACCAAAAAAAGAATACAAAACTCTCAGTTGAAGCCTCAGTGTGGGCATAAAAGTAAGGGGCAAGCCGGGTGCCAGTAGCTCACGCCTATACTCCTAACTACTTGGGAGGATGAGATCTAGGGATCATGGAAAGTCCATGAGACTCTTATTGTCAATTAATCACCAGAAAACAGGAAATGGAACTATGGCTCAAGTGGTAGAGCTCCAGCCAAAGAGCTGAGAGACAGAGGCCAGGCCTAGAGTTCAAGCTCCACGACCAACAACAACAACAAAAAAAAAGATGTGGGAGCCGAAGAGGTATTTCTCCAAGGCCTCTCCTAATCCTTTGGCTTTCAGACCTACTATCAGGAGCCCGAGTCTTTGGTGTGGCTATCTTCTTCAGTGAGAGTGAGTCTGCCTGCCGGTTTTCTGAGACCAGGGGAAATGTATTGGTGTGGGGGGTGAGACGTGGAGTGGCTGTATGAATGGCCATTTTGTGATTTTCTTTGTTGAGCTGCTAGGGATAGTCCATTGGCTGCTCTTTGTTGGTCCATTTACTCCCTAACATTGTTCAGCTCACAAGGATATATCACCTCTGCCACACTCCCTAGGGCAGATTAAGCTGCATGCACAGTAGTAAGAAAGAAATATGTAGCCAGGCACTGGTGGCTCACACCTGTTCTCCTACCTACTCAGGAGGCTGAGATCTGAGGATCACAGTTCAAAGCCAGCCCAGGCAAGAAAGTCTATGAGACTTTTATCTCCAATTAACCACCGAAAGCTGGAAGTGGAGCTGTAGCACAAGTGATAAGAGTGCTGGCCTTGAACAAAAAAGTTCAAGAACCAGCACCCAGCTTCTGAGTGCACACGCACACACACACACACAGAAATGTAGACTCTCAAGATTTTTGTTCTATTTTGCCCTGCAGGAGGTTTCAGTCAAGAAGAACTCCTGAAAATATGGAAAGGACTCTTCTACTGCATGTGGGTGCAGGACGAGCCCCTTCTGCAGGTAACATAGCCCCGTTGTGTTCCTGGACCTTTGCTGCAGAGGGATAGAAGAGACTTGACCGCTTACCCCCATCAATCTGCTGACATGACTAAGCAGATGGAAAACAAATCACTCAGGAGCATTTTCTCACCTGTGTACAGAAAGGGATGCAACACCAGCATTTAGGTTAATTATGTTTCCAAATATATTGGACACACTAAATCATAGATGCACTATTTCTGTAGACATTTTCATAGCCTCCTCCATGGTAGGTTGTACATTACATCTTTACAAGTTTCTGTTTCATCTTCTGCTGATTTGATTGCTTTCAGTCAGAAGGGTCAACTGGAGCCCTAGTCTAAGACCATGGGAAATGCAGTTTACAGGCCTACAAGTTAGCTGAGCACCAGAGCAAGGTGAGCTTCAGCTTCTGTACAGAGCCAGGCCCTTATGGCCAGCAAAGCTGGCAACTGCTGGGGATCCGCGTGTGTGTGAGCTTCTGTCCCTGCTGAGCATCCTAAGTCTTGCCTCCTGAAACATCCCAATAGAGCCTGTTGCTTCCTTCTGATGTCTGAATGTGGGTCTGCGTTGTGGTACTGGAGCACTGTGCAGACCTTCTGCAGAACTCATTCTGAGCAGGGCTGGCTCGCTTTTCTGAGTTTTGCTTGTTTGTTTTGTTGGTCATAGGGTTTGAACTCTGGCCCTGGGTGCTGTCCCTCATCTTTACAGCTCAATGCTAGCACTCTACCACTTGAGCCACAGTACCACTTCTGGCTTTTTTCTGCTTTTATGGTGCTGAGGAATCGAATCCAGAGCCTTATGCATGCAAAGCAATCACTCTTCCACTGAGCTACCTTCCCAGCCACTTTTCTGGGTTTTTATGGATAGTTTTGCCTCTTCTCCCAGGCCATGTAACAACTTGCTTCCATCCATTATGATACTCTGTTGAACACAATTTGAATAGGATAGCAAGGCAAAATACGTCTGGATTATACATTCAAGTGTGACAACCAGGCCGGGTGCCGGTGGCTCATGCCTGTCATCCTAGCTACTCAGGAGGCTGAGACATGAGGATTGCAGTTCAAAGCCAGCCCGGGCAGGAAAGTCCGTGAAACTCTTATCTCCAGTAAACCACCAGAAAACTGGAAGTGGCTCTGTAGTTCAAGTGATAGAGCACTGGCCTTGAGCTGAAGTGCTGAGGGACAGTGCCCAGGTCCAGAGTTCAAGCCCCACGACTGACCAAAAAAAAAAGAATGACAACCAGCAGCTTTAGTGCAGAAAGGGAACCAACTAATGGGAATGTGGTGTTCCAGTCTAGAGCTCATTTAGGATGAGTAAGGAAAACCAAGTGAGCATAGGCCATTGTGCTGATGAGGACCTGTCATCTTTAAGTAACTAGAAATTACGGTACTTCCTCCAGCCCACTGTAAGCACTTGGCTTGCTACTTCTTAGCAGGCATACTCTTCAGAGGACACCATGTCCTGGCAGAGCCTAGGAGGGTCCAGTCTCACCTTTGATGTTGGCCTACTGTGGCCCAGACAGACAGAGAAAGAATTCTGATCCCCAAAATTGATTCACTGGAACAAGAACCCCAGTGCCTAGCCAATTAAAGTGAACCTGTGTCTTTTGTCTTCTACAGTATTTGGTAATCATGATAGAATCTGTTTAGTTTCCAAGCCAGGAATTGATCACTGGTTTGTTCCTTTGTGGATCAGTAAACTGCTTACCAGAGGTTTTCTGAAACTGGTCCCAGAGACAATTCACGTTAGCATGTAATCGAGGCATGGCTGTGGTAGCCGTGCCCTGGAAACAAGAGGCTTGGGTTTTCCTGCTAGCCGAAGAGGAGAGGGTACAGGCTGCAGTGCTATGTGCCATCAAGTGCTACTACCTGATAGCCTCTGATGTTTCTCCCCAACACCTTTGCAGGAGGAGCTAGCGAACACTGTTTCCCAACTCATCCATGACGTTAACAACTCAGAGGCTCGTAAGTCCTAATGTTTTCGTGCCTTTCCAAACTTCCTTCCTGATCAGATGTGGTAACTTGCCTAATAATTCTAGTCAATTCCTTCTGTCTTCAAAGTTTCCATTTCAGGTGTTACTTTAACAGAAGCCTGCTGCTGGTATTGTGTAGTGATGTGCTCTTGTTTTTAAAATGTATGGTAGACTTAGGTGTCTACTGCTGCATAAACTGGCACTCCTTCAGAGTCTCCTAGTCTGCATGCTATGACAGTCTTAGGGCAGTAGACGGACCTTGCATTGTTTATACCATAGTAACCTGTGGTGCAAGTGTGTCCTTACCAGAATTGAGCCATTGGAACTCAACACTAGAGGACACCACTCATTTGTAAGTTAGGCCTTTCTTACCAAAAATCAAAAGACAGTAGAGAAAACTAAAATTTCTGAGACAGATATTGATTACTTGCCAAGGAAAAGAGGCCAGCAGATTTTATTCTGATAACACTTCACAGAATAAAACCATCCTGGTGGATGGTTCTCCGAACCACGTGGTGGTTCTCCGAATTTTAGCTGACAAAATGGAATGGGAAAGATTTGACTTTTGGTGTGTAATATAGGTTTACATACATTAAAGAACTGGTAGGCGTGGAGGCACACACCTGTAATCCTAGAACCTAGATGGCAGAGGAAGAAGGGTCTCAAGTTCAAGACCAGCTTGAGCTATATAGTGAAACCTGATCTCCAAAGTAAAAGGGGTAGAGGGAGCCGGGCGCTGGTGGCTCACGCCTGTAATCCTAGCTACTCAGGAGGCTGAGATCTGAGGATCGCAGTTCAAAGCCAGCCCGGGCAGGAGAGACCGTAAGACTCCTATCTCCAATAAACCAACAGAAAACCGGAAGTGGCGCTGTAGCTCAAGTGGTAGAGCGCTCGCCTTGAGCTGAAGAGTGCAGGGACAGCGCCCAGGCCCAGAGTTCAAGCCCCACGGCCAACCCAAAAAAAAAAGGGGGTAGAGGGATGAAGTAGTAAATTAAAAATTATTTTCAATGAAAATGTGCTTATTTGGGGGCTGGGAAGCTGGCTCAGTGCTAGAATACTTGCCTTGCATGCATGAGGCCCTGGATTTGATTCCTCAGCACAACATAAGCAGGAAAGACCAGAAGTGGCTCTGTAGCTCAAGTGGTAGAGTGCTAGCCTTGAGCTGAAGAGCTAAGGGACAGTGCCCAGGCCCAGAGTTCAAGCCCCACAACCAGAAAAAAAAAAAAGTGCTAATTTTGTGGCTCAACAAAAAGAATAGAATGGTCCAACCCCTTAAAAATCAGAAGAAAAGCCTTTTTTGTTGTTGTTCAGTCATAGGGCTTGAACTCAGGGCCTGGGCGCTGACTATGAACTTTTGCACTCAAGGCTAGTACTCTACCATTTTGAGCCACCACACCACTTCCAGTTTTCTGGTGATTAATTGGAGATAAGAGTCTCATGGTTTTTCCTGTATAGGCTGGCTTTGAACCATGATCCTCAGATCTCAGCCTCCTGAGTAGCTAGGATTACAGGTGTGAGCCACCAGCACCAGGCTGAAAAGCCAAATTTCTACCTGAATGGTGTAAATGTTCATCAAGATTAGTGAATTTAGTTATTGTGGTAGTGGTGGTGATTATGGGTTTTGTAAAGGTAATGTATAGATCGGTTACCATTTCATAAGTCAGGTAATGAGTGCTTTTTTTTTTTTTTGACAGTGTTACCCCTTCCTTCATTCTCTCCCAGTTTTTTCCTTCCCATCCCCATCCACAAGTTGTATAGTTTATTTTCAACATAGTGTCTACTGAGGTTGCTGTTTTCAATTAATGATTGTGGGTTGGTTGTTAGGTGCAGGTACAGTGGGAAAGTCAGCAGTAGACTCTTGATTTAAATAAAAACATGGCTTCATAGTAAAGTACCCTAGGGCACTTTGTAGTATCTTCTAGAAGATACTGCCAGCCTCCTATATAAATACAAGTCATGAAGCCACCCACAAAATCTTCAGATAAAGCACTAGTTTGGTTCTCTTCAGCATCTTGATATATGCTCATGTGCTAATGTGGACAGCAAGCATTCAGAGGCTCTTGTTCCCTGCAGAACACCTCTTCATTCAAACCTTTTGGCAAACTATGAATCGAGAGTGGAAGGGGATAGACAAGCTGCACCTAGACAAATACTACATGGTAAGACTACTGCTTCTTTCTCAGGGTGACCTGAAGGGCTGGGGGGTATAACTCCATGGTAGAGCACTTAGCATTCATAAAGCCCTAAGTTCCATTCCAAAAAAGGTCAGAGTCAGATACTTGTGGCTCACGCCTGTAGTCCTAACTACACAGGAGACTGAGATTTGAGTGTCGAGGCCCAAAGCCAGATTAGACAAGAAAGTCTGTGAAACTCTGATCTCTGATTAACCACTACAAAACTGGAGATAGAGTGCCAGCCTTGAGCCAAAAAGCTAAAGGACAGTGTCCTGGTCCTGAATTCAAGCCTCAGTGGAAAGCTAGCTTGTCCAGCAGAGCAAGGGGCATGATGTGTGGTATGATCAAATGGTGAGGATCATTAGAAGATGACTGCTCTTAGAGCTACTGGTGAAGAACCTTGAGATAATGTCTCACTGTGTTGCTCGGGCTGGTCTCCCAACCATCCAGCCCAGATAAAAACTATCATGACTGGGTATATAGTTCTCCATCTAGAAGTTAAATATGCTGATTAGAACATTGTTTGGCATTGGGGATCCAAAATGGTGGTCTCATTCAATCAAATTGATTGTTTTTTTTTTCCCCCCTCCAGTCCTAGGGCTTGAACTCAGGGCCTGGGCACTGTCCCTGAGCTTCTTTTGATCAAGGCTAGCACTCTACCACTTGAGCCACAGCGCCACTTCCAGCTTTTTCTGTTATGTGGTACTGAGGAATCCAGGGCTTCATGCATGCTAGGCAAGCACTCTACCACTAAGCTACATTTCCAGCTCTGATTGGTATTTCTAACTTTGCTTTTGTAACAAAAATCTGTCTTAGCTGATCCGCATGGTCCTGAGGCAGTCCTTTGAAGTTCTAAAGCGGAATGGCTGGGAAGAAAGGTTGGTAAATTAAGTTATTATTTGGGGGAGTGTCGTGTTCATTGCAGCACTGTTCACAATAGCTTAGCTATGGAGACAGCTGTGCCTAAAACTGATGAATGGAGCAAGACCACGTGAGATATACACACATACTCACCATGAGATATTACTCAGTCATAAGGAAAAATGATATGTTATTTGCAGAGAAATAGTTGGATATGGAAACCATTGTATTAAGCAAAGTAAGCCAGACTCAAAATGACAAAGGTCACATGTTTTCTCTCATATATTATGGATGTAGACCTAAAATATGAACATATATGTTACACACACATATGATCCAATCTGATTCATGTATGATGTATGCATGTGTGAGATGCCAGTGTAAAATCCCTTTGAACAATGAATGTGTACTTTGACCAAAATGAATATTAAGAAATTGAAGCTGGGCACTGGTGTCCATAATGCCCATAATCCTAGCTATTCAAGAAGCTGAGATCTGAGGATCTTGGTTGAAGCCAACCCAGGCAGAAAAGGTTCATGAGACTCTCTAGTTAACCAGCAAAAATCTAGAAGTAGAGCTGTGGCAAAAGTGGTAGAGCCCTAGCCTTGAACAGAAAAGTCAAAAGGGGGAGTGTCAGGCCCCTGAGTTCAAGTCCTAGTATCTACACAAGAAAAGAAAAAAGAAAAATGTCTTGTTTGAAGTGTGAGGTACTTGTGGAAGAGGGTGGACAAATGGAGAGGAGGATGGAGGGTAAGCAAATTCAGTCAGAAACTTACGTACACTTGTGAATGTAGACCAAGGAAACTTGCTGAGACTGACTGGGAAAGTGAAAGGAATGATTAACCAAATGCATTGTATGTGAAAATGGACGCGTTAAAATGAAACCTTGTACAATTTAATTTATGCTGATTTCTTAAGGTGGAAATATAACTTGTAATAGACAACTTACCCTAGCATGTAAGCCTCTGGGTTTGATCTCTAGCACTGGATGGGGGGAAAAAGGAGTTTTTTAAGCTGTTAATCTGATAGGACATGAATGCTTGATCTGTGCTCACGGCTAATGGCCTGGGGAGCAAGCATATCCTTCCCCAGAGAGAATTTAAAATCCAGTAGTCTGACATATGTGACTGTTAACGTTCTACCCTGGTTTTGTGACTGCTTCTTTGCCAGTAATTCTGTTTCAGCTATGCACTGAGCTTAGTATTTTTGTTTGTCCTTGAGGTGCAGAGAGATGTTGTCATGCTGTCATTTTAAAAATCCTGTGTTTTCTTTCTTGAGCCGAATCAAGCTTTTTCTGGATGTCTTGATGAAGGAAATCCTGTGTCCAGAGAGCCAGTCCCCTGATGGAGTGAGGTTCCACTTCATTGACATTTATCTGGATGAGCTGTCCACAGTGGGAGGGAAAGAGGTGAGAAGTCGCAGACATTCTGCCAGCATGCAATGGGACCTCAGTGCCCAGGGGAGCTGTCATCAGTGCTGACTGTTAGCACTGGGCACCAGTGACAGTGAGCAGGGGTAGAAATGGGTTCTGCTTCTGTCTCAACACAGTCATTCTCTATGGGGAATGTGGACAAAGATCCGTGTGCTAAGCATGCCTATGGCAGGCTTATAAAACAGAACTGAGCCTGGCTTCATGACATGTTCTCATATACCCAGCAGTTAAATTGAGTTCAGCACCAGCCTAGCAACACTGTGTTTTAACAAGGAAAACAAAAGAATCAAAAGCAACCTCAAGATATAGGGGAAAGTGCATTATGCAAAGCTGTACAAATTTGTACTCATATAGAAATAGACAAAAAGGTGTAAAGAAAATACCTTTTTTTTTTTTCCTAGTGTGTTTGTGTATGCCAGTCCTGGGGCTTAGTCAGGGTGTAGATGCTATCCTGGAGCATTTTTGCTCGAGGCTAACACTCACTCTTAAGCCACAGCTCCACTTGTGGCTTTTTGGTGGTTAATTAGAGATAAGAGTTTCATGGACTTTCCTGCCCTAACTAGCTTCAAACTATAATCCTCAGATTACAGCCTCCTGAGTAGCTAGTGTTAACAAGTATAAGTTACAAGGGCCTGACAGAAAAAAAAAAAATCTATTTTTAAAATACAGGTTATGGGGCTGGGAAGGTGGCTCAGTGGTAGAGTGCTTGCCTTGCATGCCTGAGGCTCTGGGTTCAATTCCGCAGCACCACATAAGAAAAAAGCTGGAAGTGACTCTGTGGCTCAAGTGGTAGAGCGCTAGCCTTGAGCTGAAGAGCTGAGGGACAGCGCCCAGGCCCAGAGTTCAGGCCCCAGGACCAGACTTGAAAAATAAATAAAATACAGGTTATTATCTGAATTTGGTAATGTAAACAAGTATTACTTTTTTTCCTTTCACACGTATTCTGCAGTAAAACTTTTAAGTGAAAGATATGTACACATACACACACACAGAGGGAGGCTGTGGTAGGTCTACCTAATGTATAAGAGTCTTGAGTTCAAATCTCAGTACCACCAAATACATATTAAAGCAAAATGGTAGAGCCAGTGTGATAGCTCACATCCATAGTCTCAGCTCCTTGAGAGGCACAGATAGAGGAGGGGTTTGAGGCCAGCCCAGGCAAACGTTAGCAGGACCCTATCAACGAACAAGCTAAGCATTGTTCAAAAAGAAATATACTTTTTACCTGACTTATATAACTGTACCCCCTGTGTACATCATCTATATAATAATAATTTTTTTAAAAAGAAAAAGAACAAGCCTTAGTATTGTGCCTATAATCTCAGCTACATGAAAGGCAGACCTAAGAGAATCAACATCCAAGGCCAGATCCAGGCAAATGCCAAGACTGTATCTGAAAAATAAGGCCAAACACCTGGGGAGTTCATCGCTCTTACCCCCCCAATAAAGGAACGAGCACTTCTGTCTCAGTTTGTGGTATATCTATATAAGACTTCTCATAAAGGAAGAATTGTGGCTGGCTGGTCATAGACTAAAATCATAGGTGGCTGGAGAACGGATGCGACTGAGCCTGGCCAGGCCTCTGAGCAGCCCTCTCTGCTGTTTACATTGCTTTCTTTTTCAACTTGCAAGACACAAACTATTCCTTTTCTGGGACTCATCGGGAAGGAGAAAAGACGCATTTTATTTCTAAATTACAGCTTTTGGCAGATCAGAACCTGAAGTTTATTGACCCATTCTGCAAAGTCGCTGCCAAGACTAAAGAGTAAGTGACTTTTGTCTCTTTCTATGGCTTTGGTTGGTACTGGGGAGGTGGGAATCTGTTGGACGGAGGGTGCAACACTAGGATGATTATCCAGAGCAAAGACACTGCATTCATAGTTCCCCTTAACAAGGCCTTTGAAAGGTTGAGTGGCAGTTTGTCTCTCAGCTTCAGCATTTGACCCAGTCATTGCAGGAATGTCCTCTCTGGCCTCTCTCCTGGGTTCCTTGTACCCAGGCCCAGGATTGTCAGGGACTCCAGGCAGACTGCAACTGCCCACCTAGAACTGACTCCTCTGCTTCTCAAAGACTGAGGCCCAGACCATGTGTGTTGCACACTTCTCACTTGTGCTTCCGCCCACAGCCACACCCTAGTACAGACGATCGCAAGGTGTGTGTTTGAAGTCATTGTACAGCAGTCTCCTTTCATACCTGAAGAGACTGGGGAGGACCAGGAAACAGAAGTGAGTAGCAATGACTCCTCTGGAAAAGCAAGTCCTACAAATGAGACCACATGGAGAAAAGCGAGTAGTAGAAGTAAGACCGGTAAGAGAATCTCCTGGAGCTGTCTTCACTTTTTTACTTCTCAAGCAAAAACTTTTTATTTTTCTTTCTATCAGTCCTGAGGCTTGAACTCAGGGCCTGGGTACTGTGCTTCAGCTTCCTTTGCTCAAGGCTAGCCACAGCACCACTTCCAGCTTTTTCTGTATATACGATACTGAGGAATTGCACCCAAGGCTTCATTTGTGCAAGGCAAGCACTCTACCACTAAGCCACATCACCAGCCCCAAGCAAAAACTTTTTAATATGTTTGTTGGAATCTCAGTATAGCCTGATGTTAACTGTGGAAAGTAGAACTGCCTTAAACCCCTCCAGAAAGAAAGCACAGGATTCAGGGAGGGGAGGAGGCAGGCCTCTTCTAGAATTTCAGCACTCTTCTAGGAGTTTTGTTTAAAACACTGATTTGGACCCATACCTCATACCTATAAGAGCCTTTTCTTTTCTTTTGTTTTGTCAGTCTTGGGGCTTGAACTCTGGGCCTGAGCGCTGTCCCTCAGCTCAAGGCTAGCGCTCTACCACTTGAGCTACAGTGCCACTTCCAGTTTTCTGGTAGTTTATTGGAGATAAGAGTTTTAGGGAGTTTCCTGCCCAGGCTGGCTTTGAACCTCATCCTCAGATCTCAGCCTCCTGAGTAGCTAGGATTACAGGCGTGAGCCATCGGCGCCTAGCTATAAGAGCCTTTTCTTCTGGAGACCTCTATAGGCAGATAAGAGTAGCTCTGTTTCCCTAGTTCAGATTTGTTTCTGTGGATGTTTTGTTGTTCATTTTTATTTTTTGGTTTTTGTTTTTGTAGGTCATGGGGCTTGAACGAGTGCTTATCCCTGAGCACCTCAGCTCAAGGCAAGCACTCTATCACTTAAGCCACAGCACTACTTCTGGTTTTCTGGTGTTTAATTAGATATAAGAGTCTCATGGACTTTCCTGCCTGGGCTGGCTTTGAACCACAGTCATCAGATGGCAGCCTCCTCAGTAGCTAGGATTATAGGCATGAGCCACTGGTGCCCAGCTGTTTTATTTTTGGTTTGGGTGGCTTAGGGAATTGTTTTGGGCTAGGGAAGTTGTGGTACCAGAGAGCAGAGGTCAAACCCAGGGCTTCATGACTGTAGATGAGTAATCTATCACTTAGCATCTCCACCCTCAACCCTCAATATTTTAAATGCCAATGCCATCCAAAAAATTATTAAAAACAAAAGCAAAGCCCAAAGCTTGTGACTCATAACCTGTCTGTAATCCTAGCTACTTAGGAGGCTTAGATCTGAGGACTGCAGGAAAGTCTGTGAGATTTTTATCTCTAATTTACCACCAGAAAACAGGAAGTCGTGCTGTGGTTCAAAGTGGTAGGGTGCTAGCCTTTAGCACAAAAGCTCAGGGACAGTACCTAGACCCTGACTTCAAGCCCTACAACTGACCAAAAAAAAAAAAATCTGCAATATCACTACATAGCAGGTAACCTATTAGAAGGTATCAGTGCTCCAAAAGTAGAAACTATGGGTTAGAGATAATCAGTGAAATCTTTGTAAATAATCCAAGATTAAATCTGACACACTTTGGCCTGCTAAGGGATATTCAGCCTGAAGAATAGATCTCACCGTGGTTCTAAACTTTGCCAAAACTAGCACCAGTACATCCATTCCCCTCCCCCCACAGAGCTGCACCACCCAACCCACTCACCCAAAACTGAACTCCAGCGCTACCCTTCCCCTCAGGCACAGTGTACATTGTGGCTAATAGTATGTCCAGAAAGCACAGGCAGCATTTTGCTGTGACCCAACTGAGTAGCAAAAGCAAAATATGTCCTTTCCCCAGCTTCCTTTCCCAGAACTAAACCACCAAAATGTCTTTGGGATAGTGTTTCCTTCTTCACCTCATTAGACATGGCTCCTAGGGAAGTAATTGTTAATGTGTTCTTGAGTGTGAAGATTTTGTCTTCGGGTGTATTTTGACAGCACTGGACAATTGCCTCCCCAAGAAAGAAGGAGATGACGGCACCGCCCCCGTGGACCCAGGGCGGCCCCTGCAGGTGGGGACTGCTATTGCTTTGTATAGCAAGTAAATTTACTGGTGTGGCTAGAGGATTAGGGTCAGAGCTGATCAAGCCAGGAGGCCTGACGTGTAAAGTCCTTCATAATCCCTTTGGTCACAGATGTCACCTTCCTAAGAATGAGCTTATTGGAAACTAACTAGGGTAGGATTGGCCCACATAGTAAGTTGCTGCTTTATTCAGCAGATGGCTTTCAAGTAAAAAGTTCACTGCTACCAACCAGAGATGGGAGTCTTGTTTAAATTTAAGAAGAAGCACTCATTCTGTATAATTATCTTTAAGTAGTTGTACAAAGAAGTTCCCATTCTACAAAACAGTATATGAGTACAAAGTGTCTGACAGCATTGTCAATGGTGACTTTTTCTATCGGTGCTCACTCACACACTGTTCTGTGCCATGCCAAGGCATTCCCTTATTGGAGACCCACACTTGCAAGTCAGGCCACATTGGTTTCCTGCTGCTTATGTTTAATTTCTCTTTGTAGTTTGACTATAAGGCTGTTGCTGATCGACTCCTGGAAATAACCAGCAGAAAAAACACCCCTCCTTTCAACCGGAAGCATCTCTGCAAACTAATCAAGAAGTAAGCTGTTGGGTGAGCGGGGTCCTCTTGTGTGTTCATGGTTAGGACCAGCCCTCTCCATGCTTAGATTTTTTTCTTCTTCTTTTAAACTTGCACATAAAATGCAAGTTTAAAGGGAACAGCTTCTCCTTCCCCTGCGGTTCCTTCAGATGCAGACAGTCTCACCTTGTCTGTTTGATAATGATGCCTACTAATTTCTTTGAGCAGTAGACCAACAGTGCTATTGAGGTGTCATCTGTTGTATGCTAAGATAGGTAGCAGCTTAGTCATCTGTCTGCCTCTTGCCCTCACTTCCCAGCATGGCTGTGCCAAAAGAGTTAGGTAAAGCAGTCAGTGTTAGGATCATGGTGATCATAGTGACATGAGTATATATGGTTCATTGGAAAGGCTCATGGTATATTGTGACTGATAGCAAGTGACAGCTGTCTAACCATACCTTTTGTATGGGCTAGGCATGGATCTAATTACTGTTATTTATCTTTTTATGTTAAACCCATAGAAGGTAGCATCTGTAACTCTGCACACTGTTGCTGGGTCATTGAAGACCTGGAGGAGGTCACCAGGATGCCAGGGTCACTGGTGCAGATGATAGGCCCCACCTTCCCCTGTACCCCGCACAGCCTCCATGTGCTCCTGTGTATCATGCTACCTTCCCCTCAGCCTGCTTGTAGATCTAGTGCACCAACATTTTGTAAAGAGAACACAGCTTGAAAAATTAACATGGGCTGGGCACTGGTGGCTCACACCTGTTATCCTAGCTACTCGGGAGGCTGAGATCTGAGGATCATGGTTCAAAGCCATGGCAAGAAAGTCTGTGAAACTCTTATCTCCAATGAACCACCAGAAAACTGGAAGTGTCGCTGTGGCCCAAGTGGTAGAGCTCTCGCCTTGAGCTGAAGAGCCCAGGCCCAGAGTTCAAGCCCCATGACTGGCCCCTTCCCCCCCCCAAAAAAAAATTATTATGGGCAGAGTTGTCAGCTCTTTCTGCCTTCATAAAAGAGGAAACTGAAATTCTCAGTAGTTTTATAAAAGTGCCAAAGACACTTTAGATCTACCTTCAATGGAAGTTCTCTCCAGTGCCCTCTGCTGGAGGGAAAGAAAGCAAATAACCATTTCTCCTGTTGTAGCCCTCTTTGCCTGGGTCTGGAGGACAAGGAGGAGGGTTTCTCCATGAGCCTCTGGTGTTTTCTCTTTCAGATTCCAAGAACTCTCTGAAGGTGAGGACAGTTGAGATTGTAATTCAGGGTACTCTGACTTAACATGGACCCCACTGAGGGCAACTGTGCTGAGAAACAGGAAGGAAGGGCACTCCTGGGAACGTCTCCTACAAGATTGCAGCCCTGGACTACGTTCGCCCTGCACACCTGAGGCAGAGGCTGCAGGAGGTGCAGCAAGTTCAGGGCCCTTTATAGCCACCCTCCTTCCATCTGGGCTCCCAAAAATGCCACACTTGACAACTGTGTTTGAGTAGTGTGGTGTTTTGTTTAGATCTTCATTGTTTTGTTTTGTTTTGTTTTTAAACTAGATTTTCATTTGGCTAAGATTCCATTTGATAAACTCATCTGTGGAGGTCCTTTTCATGTACTGTTATGGTCGCATGTCCCTGGGAAAGGCTTCTGTAATTCAGGTTACATCCAACAGAGCAATGAACCTGCTAGCCCCCATTATGCACGGGGCCCCCTGGAATTGAGGAAAGCTCCATTTAACCAGAGGGAACATGGAGGCTGCCTCAGCCTGCCCATTCTCTATGATCCCCTCCCTGCCTTGCCTTGCCTTGCCTTGCCTTGCCCACCCCAGCCCAAGAAACCACAGGGTTGAGTCTGCAGCAGCTTTCTGATCTGGGTGGGGGAAGCAGAGTGGTACAGAGATCAGGGTCACAGACTGTCTTGGATGGCTTGGGAAGGGCCCTGCTCCTGGGCACTGGGGCAGAAGTGCAAGGCCTGGGGAAGCTGATGGTCTCACTTTGGTATCCAGCAGGCAATGTAGCTCAACTCAGTTTTGCTGAGGACATTGCTGGTGAAGGTCAAGGACTCAGTCAAGGAAAGCGGAAGAAAAAAAGAAAGAAACTTTTAGAGAAAGCCAGCTTGGAACAGGAGAAAGGTAAACTGCAAAGCTTATAATACTAGAGATGTATATAGAGGGTCCATGGGTAGCCACGTGTATATGTTTGTGTACATACCTCCTCCCCCCAAGATCTGTGAGATATATGAGCTAAGGGGGCCTATTGGCTAACTTTTTTCGGGGTAGTGGCACTAGAACTTGGGGCCTCACTAGACTGATCCCATACTGCTGAGCCATGCCTCCAGCCTAATTTCTCACTGGCTATCAGGATAGGCTCTCACTTCCCACCAGGGAGGTACCTGAGCGGTAGCCCACCAACTATAGACTTCCAGTCTTCACTGGGATCACAGGTGCACACCACCATGTCTTGCTGTCCTTAGCAGAGATGGAATCTCCCAGATTTTCTTCCAAGGCTGACTTGGTACTACAACCCTCCCAATCTCAAACCACCCCCCACTATCCTACCCCCCTCACCCCACCCTATAGCCAAGTGCCAGGTGCATACCACTACACTCAGCTTTGAGTAGAGAAGAGGGCTTGCAGACTTTTCTGCTTGAGCTGGCCTTGAATCGTGGTCTTCCTGTTCTCAACCTTCTACATAGGAGTACTTGTTTTGTTTTGTTTGCCAGCCCTGGGCCTAGGCACTGTCCCTGAGCTTCTTTAGCTCAAGGCTAGCTCTCTTACCACTTGAGCCACAGCACCTCTTCCAGCTTTTTCTGTTTATGTGGTACCCAGGAATTGAACCCAGGGCTTCATGCATGCTAGACAAGTACTCTACCACCAAGCCACATTCCCAACCTTTGGGAGTTTTTTGTTTGCTCAAGACTAGCACTTTAAGTCACAGCTCCTCTTCGTGATTTTTTTAGCTGTATTTTTTTTTTTTTGTCTTTTCTTTTTTGGTACTGGGGATCGAACCCAGGATGTTGCACTTGCTAGGCAAGCACTTTGCCACTGAGCTACATCCCAGCCCCCTTTTCATGATTTTTATTAATTGGGATCTTAGAGTTTCTGCCCTTGAACCAGGATTCTCACCTCAGCCTCCTGAGTAACTAGGATTTCAGGCATGAGCCACTGCCACTTAGTTTCAGGATTACAGTTTTTATAGCAAAAAGCAGTTTTTCTTTCCAGGTACTTAGTTATTAGTATGTACTCATTACACAAAGGGGTGTCGTGATTTCTTTTTTTTTTTTCTTTTTTTTTT